GGACCTGAACAGACACTTCTCAGAAGAAGATATACAATCAATCAACAAATATATGAAAAAATGTTCAACATCTCTAGCAATTAGAGAAATGCAAATCAAAACTACTCTAAGATTTCATCTCACTCCAGTCAGAATGGCAGCTATTAAGAATACAACAACAAGAAGTGTTGGCGAGGATGTGAGGGAGAAGATACACTCATATACTGCTGATGGGACTGCAAATTGGTGCATCCGACATGGAAAGCAGTATGGAGATTCCTTGGAAAACTGGGAATGGAACCCACCATTTGACCCAGCTATCTCGATCCTCAATCATACACAATGGACTTAAAAACAGCATACTACAGGGACACAGCCACATCAATGTTTATAACAGCACAATTCACAATAGCTAAATTGTGGATCCAACCTAGATACCCTTCAGTAGATGAATAGATAAAGAAAATGTTATATATATACACAATGGAATATTACTCAGCATTAAAAGAGAATAATATTATGGCATTTGCAGGTAAATGAATGGCATTGGAGAAGATAATCCTAAGTGGAATAAGCCAATCCCAAAAAATCAAATGCCAAAAGTTTCCTCTGATACAAGGATGCTGATTCATAATGGGGATGGAGCAGGCAGCATGGGAGGAATAGATGAACTTTAGATAGGGAAAAGGGAAGGGAGGGGAAGAGAGGGGGCATGGGGGTAGGAAAGACAGTGGAATGAGTTGGACATCATTACCCTAAGTACATATATGAAAACACAAATGGTGTGACTCCACTTTGTGTACAACCAGAGACAATAAAAAATTCTCTATTTGTGTAATGTGAATTGAATTGTATTCTGCTGTCACATATAACTAATAAGAATAAATAAAATTTAAAAATTAAAAAAATATATAGGCTAGAAATTAACGGTCTGCCATGAAGCGCTAGGAGGCAATACAGTGCCACTGTCATTCTCAAATATTTTGAGCAACTGGTCTAGCCAAGGAAGATAAAATACATGCTCAGGTTCAAATGAGTGAAGGATCTAGAACCCACATTGCCAACCGAGCATGATGCACATCTATATAATCACAGCGGCTTGGGAGGCTGAAGCAAGAGGACCACAAGTTCAAAGCCAGCCTCAGCAACTTAGCAAGGCCCTAGCAAATCAGAGACTCTGTCTCTAAATAAAATATAAAAGAGGACTGGGGATGTGGCTCAGTGGTTGAAATCTCAACTAACCGGAAGTCAGATTTGGATTGAAATTTCCAATGTTGCAATTTGGAAGTATATGGAAATGGCATCAGGGAAGATAGAGCTCACATAGTTTATGCCTAAAAAAAAAAGTGTTACACAGAACCTGAGCTCACCTAGAGCCTTAAGATGTGAGCAAAGTCTATTCAACTGCCTCTCTAGTTTCACAGCTCAAAGCAGATTATAACCCAGAGAGCCAAAGTAAATGTGGTAAGGACATCATAGAGTCAGACTCCTGGACAAGAGACCTGGAGAGAAGAGACCAAGTAAGCAAGATCACAGCAAGCAAAATGCACAGCCAACTGGGTCCACTGGCTTGTGGGCACAAGGCATCTTAAAAGTAGCCTCTAAAGTCATGACTGCAGGAGAAGACACTACAACCAGTCAAGACTGATGGAGTCATAGACATAACCTATAAATTGCAAGAGACCTGACTCTTTCTCATATCCCCTGCAGGATTCTTCCGCAGAACTGCTCTGGGCCTCTGCTAGACTAGTTCTAGGGGAGAAACCTCAACATCAAATACACTAGATAAAGCCGGGCAAGCATTTGTTGAGTTCCTCCTTTGTGCTAGGCATTTGGCTTAATGCTTTGTACATGTTTCCTCACTTCCTTTCACAAAGCCTAGGAGGTAGGAACAGTTCCCATTTTACAGAAGTGGAAAGTCAAGTTCAAAGACATTATATAACTTCTCAACATCATGAGAAGTAGAGAAGCATCACTGACATCAGGGAGCTGGTGTGGGGCTTTCAGCCAGGCACTGGTATGGCAAGGAGCTGGCTTGGCATTCTCCTGCTGAACATGAGTGATGTCTCAGGGCATCAACATTAGGCAAAGCCACTCTGTGATCATGAATCAAGACAAAAACAAGACCACCCCGTAATCATATCTGGCCACAGACCAAACACGAATATTGTCCAAACCACAAAAATGACCAAATACCACCTCCCACTCAGTCCTGGTTAATGAGCAACTGCTGCTTCTTGACCAACCATAGCAGTTCCTCTTTATGAGCTTCTCTCCTTCTAGACAAGATTTAGGAAGGTAATAATCATAGAATTTCCTCTACATCCTGACAGCATCTGACCCAGAGCAAAGCCCCATTTCCCTAAACCCTTCCTCCAAAATCACCTGCTACATACCCAGGGTCTTCCTTGCTGCAAGGTACAACAAACCCAACATGTCCAACTCCCGGTCTTCAGCTGGAGGGCCTTGGATGTATCCTAGAGAATGATTGCTGGGCCACAATCCCACCCAGATCCATGGAAGTCCAGAACCAGTGCCTTGGACTGCCTTGCTCTGCTGTCCTCTGTTCAATTCTTTCTTTTAAAATTTGGACTACATATGACTCACTTTGGAAAGTCAGAAAATGAGTTTGAAAGAGTAAACTTCAGTTGTGGTGGAACCAAAAATCATTGTAGTGGAACTCACACTATTTCCCCACTGTCTGGGGAAATGAGACATGGCTGAACTTGTGTGCTTGTCTCATTGTTAACAACTTCAACACATTTTGAATTATTTTTAGTTTTCTAAATAACAAAGTGAAATTGAATCTGCTAAATTAAAACAGAGGTGTTAAATTGTTATAACTTCTGGTGTCTACAGTCCAGTACCTGAGTGCATTTTTTAAATGAAAAGACAAATTAAAGATACTCTATCATCTCTTCTGAAAATAATAATCAGTATGTGAAACGAAGACATACTGGTTGCAAGACAGGCATAAGGTTAAACAAGGAGAAGGGATGAGGCAGCAAAGGTTGTTGGGAAGCGGAATGGATAACAGAAGATGAGGCCTGATTAGGAATAGAGAGGAGGGCTGGGGGTGTGTAGCTAGGTGGTAGAATGCTTGCCTAACATGCAAGAGATCCTTGGTTCCATTCCCAGCACCACAAAAAAATTAACCAAATAATTTTTTAAAAATAGAGCAGGGCGCGGTGGGGACACCTGTAATCCCAGCAGCTCTGGAGGCTGAGGCAGGAGGATCACAAATTCAAAGCCAGCCTCAGCAACTTAGCCAGGCCCTAAGCAACCCTGTGTCCAAATAAAAAATAAAAAAGGGCTAGGGATGTGGCTCAGTGGTTAAGTGCCCCTGAGTTCAATTCGTGGTACCAAATAAATAAATAAAAATAAAAAGAGAAAGCAAGAAGAAATTCTCTGAGCACCTGGAGAGTTCAAAAAGAGTGAAAAGAGTCAAGCATGGTGGCACACACCTGTAATCCCAGTGGCTCACAACTGAGGAGGATTGCAGATTCAAGGCCAGCCTCAGAAATTTGGTGAGGCCCTAAGCAATTTAGCAAGACCCTGTTTCAAAATTTAAAAATTTTTAAAAAGGACTGGGATGTGGCTCAGTGTTTAAGTGCCCCTAAGTTCAATCTCATTTACTCTGGAGGCAAGTTCAAGGCCAGCCTGGGCAATTTAGCAAGACCCTGAGGAAGGAAGGAAGGAAGGAAGGAAGGAAGGAAGGAAGGAAGGAAGGAAGGAAGGAAGGAGGGAGGGAGGGAGGGAGGGAGGGAGGGAGGGGTGAATGAGGAAAGGAAAGAAAGGAAGGCATCTTTAGGGACCCAAGGAGATTTCTTAATCTATCTAGTAGTCTGGGCTCAACTTCTCGTTTTCCTTTTATGTACGTATGAATGTATGCACACTATTATTGCAGTACTGGAGACTGAACCCAGGTGTGCTCTACCACTAACTTACATCCCCAGCTCTTTTCATTTTTTATTTTGAGATAGGTTCTCACCTAGTTGTCCAGGTTGAACTCCAACTTGTGGTCCTCCTGCCTCGGCCTCCCAAGTAGCTGGGATTACCAGTTTTTGACACACACCGGGCTCCTGACAGTTTTCCTTTCTGACAGATTGTTGGTAGTGGATTTTGAAGATTATTAATTTTATTCTACATTTACTCGGCTGCTTCTCACACCTCACAGCACTTTTTTCATTCCACTCTAACTCAGCCTCTAGTCTGTTGGTCTGTCTGACTGCCTCTTGAGGGTATGGACCTCAAGACATCCATCCCTCTCACTGTCCCATTCGGCCCCAGTGGTGGGTCCTGTGTTGGTTCGGCCTACAGCAAATGGGTAAGAAGTGCACTCTGGCCTTTCTAGCTTAGGTGCAGAAAGGGTCCAGAAAGGGTCCAGAGTCGTCCACCTAAGGCCAAATGAAGCACCAAGGCAACTGTTCAGTCATCTGGTCCTTCTGGGAACATCAAGGAGGGTAGCGGGTGGGATCTGGCCTCTACCCGAAGCGCTGGCCCATTAGAATCCGGGCCAAAGAGGTGGGGCCAGAAAAACTGAATCCCTTGTCTGCTCCTGGCCTTGGTCCCCACCCCATCTCTCATGCACACACGCCCCCATGCTGGGGAGGCCTCGGCAACACTCAGGGAAGACACCGGAAAACAAGGAATGAAGAGGGGTCAGGGTGGTGAAGGGATGCGGGGGAAAGAAGGTGCCAGCTGCCCTAGCAACACCCACGAAGGGAGAGGCGCGGGCAAGAGGAAGAGGGGATGAGAAAGGGCTGGTGAGTGCGAGTCGGGGAGAGGGCGATGTGATGGGATGGAGTCTGGGGCCGGGAATAGGGAGGATGGGGCGCGACAGGCCAGCCAGGGGGGTTCATCTGCCTTGGGAGGGAGGGAGGGAGAAGAGGGGTGTCCGGGAGAGATCGCGCCTCGCGGCCTCGACTCGCGTCTGCAGCGGACACCGGGGCAGATAAAAAAAAAAAAAAAAAAAAAGGAGCCGCAACGGAGTCCTCAGCTCGCGCCCGCCGCACACTTACCGCGCGCCACCGCTCGGTCCCCCGCCGCCGCGCGCTCCCGCCCGCGCCCGCAGTCAGAGGAGCCCGGCGCGCGCCGGCCAGCAGCGACGTTCTAGGAGCCAAGAGGGAGGGCCCGCTGGGACCTTTGCTCGGTCCCCGCCCCTTGGAGTCGCGGGACCCGCAGGGAAGCCGCGGGAGGAGCGGAAGGAGCGTGCCCAGACACTGGCGGAGGGGCGCGGCCTGGCCAGCAGAGACGCAGAGGAGAGCAAGCCCGGCCACGGTTCTGGGCTCCGGGGACGGCCCGAGACTCTGAGCAGGCCCAGCCAGAACTGGTTCCCTTCCTTCGCGTGACACCCGAAGCCGGGTCTCCTGGGCCTCGACTTTGGCCAAGGCACTGGGAGAAAGAGAGCTCGGTGGCCTGCTGCCAAAGAGACCTCACCCCCGGGGTTGCAATCCATAATAGGATGTGAATTACAACTGTGGCTTCACAGTTCCACCAGAAAAGTCCCAGGCCACCCTGGCCGGCGCGAACCCCTATTGTTTGTGCCTGGGAGCTTCGAGATCTGTGCTGTGACTGGGTTAGCAGTAAATTAGACTCCAAGCTCCTTGAGGGCAAAACCAAACCTCACTCACATACTAGGTACTCAGTAAATCCTGAAGGAGGGAATTTGAGCATGGCTGTAATAATTGTTTGCTGCTTAACTGAGTTGAAAAATTATAACCTTTGAGTCAGCGTTCATAAATCATGTTCTCTTGTGCATTAAACAAGAGAAAATAAAATTTCTGCACTCAGAAAACTTTGAAAGACTTTGTGGCTGCCTTCAAGCAAGGAGAAAGTGGGAGGCAGGGCTATGTCTTGTGCCCCGTCTCTACATTGCTGTTACCCACCTGTGAAGCCTTCTCTGGCTATGGACATTGAAAAGTGCTCCTCTCCCCCCCCCCCCGCCCCACACACACACCAGCAGAAACACTTCTAATTCCTCTCCTGCTTTATGTTTCTGCTTTGCACTTATAACCATCAGCTAGACTGGGTTTATAATTCTTATTTCACATATTATTCTTTTCTTCCCTAAAGTGTCAGCTCCATCAGGGATTTTTGTCTGCTTTGTTTACTATACCCAGTTCTAAACTTAGAACTTTTATTTGCATGGTATATATTTAGTAAATAGTTGTTGAATTAAGGAATGGATCTTCTTGTTTCTCCAGCTAAACTGTGGAATCTTATGCATCTGTGCAATAGTAGGCATAAAATTACTGCTTGTTGGATGAATGAATAAATAAAATAAATAGAAATAATTGTGGACCCTTGGGGTTCCTTCCCTTGCCAATGTAATTAGATATTGAAAGAAAGAGGAAGCACTATCCCAGACTGGTCAAGAGGCTTCATGGATAATATCAGTTCTCTGTCTTAATAGAATTATGTAGTGATACTAAGGTTTGATTGTGTCCCCCAAAGCATACGTGTTGGAAGTTTAATACTCAGTGTACAGTGTTGAGAGGTAGGAACATTAAGAGGTGATTACATCATGAGGGCTGTGCCCTCGTGAATGGATTGATGTCATTATCAAAATAAATTAGTTATCATGGGAATCAGGTTTTTTGTTTCTTTGGGTTTTGTTGTTGTTGTTGTTGGTGGTGGTACTGGGACTTGAACCCAAGGGCACTTTACTGCTTAACTACATCCCCAATCCTTTTTTATTTTGAGACCAGTCTCACTAAATTGCTGAGATAATCCTCCTGCCTTAGCCTCCCAAATCACTGAGATTACAGGTATGGTCTCCTCGTCTTCCTACCCCTGTTCTCTTCTGTTTTCACTTTTCTCCCTCGTCCTGTCTCCCTGCCTTCCTCCCCACTTCCCTTTCGTCCCACCTTCAATCTTCCTGACATGAGATGATGACGAAGCAAGAAGACCCTTCTCAGCACTACTTGACCTTGGACTTCTCAGCCTCCAGAACTGTAAGAAATAAATCTCAGCTCTTTATAAATTGCTGGGTCTCAGGAATTCTGTTCTAGCAGCACACAGTAAACTAAGACAAGTGATGACTCTAGCTTGTTCTCAGAGCTTATTGCCTCCTGACCTAGGGCATTAACCTTAAGAACATCCTCATGAACACCATGTTCATGCAGTTCCCACCACTTCATGGTTGCCATCTAGCTAGTTCTCCATCTAGCTAGGTTGCCATTTGTAATTGGGGCTGCTTGAGCTTTTTGGTGCAATGATTACTTAGTGACTTAAAATTCATTCACTCTTTTTGTCCTATCCAATGCCTTTAAATTAAATACCTGGGGAAGACAGTAATAGTATTAGCAGCTAAAATGCATGTGGCACTTTCTCTGCATGCAATAATTGACTCGTTTAATCCTCACAGCCAATTAGAAGTTCAAGCTGAGAGCTTGGAAATTACCTAGGAAAGACAGCTATGACTTTAACCCAGATCTCTTGGCACCACCTGTTTTTAACCCACCATAGGGTACAGACTACCCCAAAAGAAAATAGGAAACACAGTAGAGGACACCCCACTCAGCAGTGTTTGAACCTTCCCTGAGCATTGGGAGGGAAAGAGGGATTATGCTTAAGGAACACTCCCTCCACCCTATTCTCCTACTCTCCCTGTCTAAGGTGGAGGAATATGGCAAACCATAATTTTTTTAACGTTATTATTATTATTATTATTATTATAGATTTCAGATGGACCAATAAGATGGGAGGTTTAGGCCCAACTAGAAAAAAGAAAAAAGTAAGTCAAACCAAACATCAAACCCCAGCCTTCTCACTCCATAATAGGTATATTGTCTTAGCAAAATGGAAATAGAAACAATTTCCAAGGAGATAAATTGGGGTGGTCATATTTGCTTTTCAAAAGATTCATTAAATATAAACTATGTTTCAAGTTGCAGAACTTGTGAAACATGCAATGGTGGTGCATGCCTATAATCCCAGCAACTCAAGAGGCTGAGGCAGGAAGCATGCAAGTTCAAGGCCAACCTCCACAATTTAGTGAGATCCTGTGTCAAAATAAAAAATAAAAATAAGAAGGGCTAGAGACATAGGTCAGTGGTGGAGTACCTCTGTGTTCAATCCCTAGTACTGAAGAAGTTTGGGGAAGAATTTCTGAAACAAATCAGTGATGTGTTGGGTATTCCCCACTCAATACCGAATTCTTTTTTTTTTTTTTAATACAGGGAATTAAACCCAAGGACACTTAAACACTGAGGCATATCCCCAGACCTTTTTATTATTATTATTATTATTATTATTATTATTATTATTATTATTATTATTATTATTTTAAACAGAGTCTTGTTAAGTTGCTTAGGACCTCGCTAAATTGCTGTGGCTGGCTTTGATTCTCCTGCCTCAGCCTCCTAAACTGCTGGGGTTACAGGCATATGCCACTGTACCCAGCTATCCCCAGGTTTTTACATAGGAAATGATATGTAAATGGCAGCAAAAATTGGTAAAATTCACTAACAGAGTATATTTCATAAATGAACACATAAATAAACCAGCTCTGCCTGGCTGTCATAACTACTTCCTAATTCTATGGAAGCTACTCTTGGAGACCTGGACTCTTTCCAGTGAATAGCCTCTATGGACAGATAAATCATAGGCTTTGAATGAGTCGGATTTGGGTCAAATCCAGCCAGCACTTACTAGCTGAATGACCTTAGGAAAACTGCATGACTTCCCACTTAAAAATTACTTAGAGTATTGTCATGAGATCATGTTATTACTGAGCACATAATAGAACTCAATAAAAGTTTTCTTTCCTCAATTAATTACTTTAGAGTTAAAATTGCCTTTAAGTTAAGGCAAAAAAATGTTCACCTTTTCGTAAATGTGCCTCTTACCATATTAACTGTTTCCCAGAGGAACATAACTACTAACATAAATTATAATAAAATTTGGCATACATTGATATATACTTTTAAACTGATCTCATTTACTCCCCCTAAATCTCAAAAGTACTTTCTAAACTGGAGATTGTATTGCCAATGCATATTACTTACCAATTACAGTTTTAAAATAAAAAGTTTAGCTAGGCATGGTGGCACATACCCATAATCCCAGCTACTTGGGTGTCTCAGGCAGAAGGATCATAAGATCATTGCCAGCCTGGGCAATTTAGGGAGACTCTGTCTCAAATTTTTTAAAAATGAAAGGGGCTAGGGGCTTCCTAGCATTCATGAGGTCCTAGGATTAATCCACAGTACCAGGGATGCAAGAAAAAAAAATTAAAAGTTTATGGAGGATTAAATATAGTCCAGAATTAAGTCTTCTTCAGTTTCCCAAATGTCTCTTGTTCAATTGCAACATACAGATACTGACTTGAGAAAAACTGAAATTCACTTGGCAATCAACAAATGATCAGCCAAAATTGTCAATATTAAAATTCTCAACTCAAATATTACTGAGTAAATAAGGAATGATGAAGTAATTTGCTTTGCCAGTTATCAACTGCTGCATAACAAACTACCACCAAAACTTAGTAACTTGAAACAACAACCATTTTATTGTTATATCTCCTAATTTTACACATTGGAACTTCACGCAGGCTCGGTTGAGCAATTTTTTTTTTCAGTCTCATGTGGCATCAGCTGGGGTCACTCAAAGCAATTTAGCTGAAGGAAGACAAATAGCCTGGTCCAAAGGGTCTAGATGGCTTCATAAATGTCTTCATCCATTCAGGCTGTTTTAATAACAAAATCATAGGCCAGGTAGCTTATAAACAGAAATTTGTATCTCACAGTTCTGGAGGCTGGAAGTCCTAAGATCAAGATCCTAGCAGATTCAGTATTTCCTGGTTAATAGATGGGGATTTCTTTCTGAGTCCTCACATGATGAAAGATGCCATCTTCATGATTTAATCAGCTCTCCAAAGGACAATTTCCTACAGCCACCACATTGGTGATTAAGTTTCAATATATGAATTTGAGGAGAACACAACACTCAGACCATAACAACCTATGTTGGTGCCCTGGCAGGGATGACTCAATCAGGTTATCAGTCAGAGCCCCAATGTATATGCCTCTTCATCATGGTGGTCTCAGGGCAGTCAAACTTCTTATACAGAGGCTCAGGGCTACAAAAACTCTCTAAGTAGGTAGGTTCCAAGAAATAAG